TTTTGGTATGAACACTGTACTGTATCACGCTCCAGCTGTGAATCTGAGTATCGTGCTCTTGCCACAACTGCTGCTGAACTTCTTTGGGTTACGCATCTTTTGCATGACCTCAAGGTCCCTATTTCACAGCAGCCCTTACTCTTATGTGACAACAAAAGTGCTATTTTTTTGAGCTCTAATCCTGTTTCTCACAAGCGGGCCAAGCACGTTGAACTAGATTATCATTTTCTTCGAGAACTTGTTATCGCTGGCAAACTTCGTACACAATATGTACCCTCTCATCTCCAAGTTGCTGACATCTTCACAAAGAGTATTTCTCGACCTCTCTTTGAATTTTTCAGATCCAAGCTTCATATTCGTTCAAATCCGACGCTCAGCTTGCGGGGGGTGTTAAGGATAGTTGACCGTTCATTATAAGGCAAATATCTAGATATTTGCCTAAACCCTAAACCCTAAACCCTAGATATTTGCCTTACATTACGGGTTACCATATTTTCCCTTTTACTACACCATTTGAATGTGGTGGATTAATCAAACATTCACAAATGTATTTGGTATTAATAATCCAAAAAAGCAGTTCGAAATTGTTAGGTGAGAGGGGAGATGTATATGAAAAAAATGGAATTTATTTAAAGGAATAATATTATAATGTCGGCCATTCCCAAATCTCACATTTGTTTAACAAAAAAAAAAAATAAATAAATAAATAAATCTCACATTCGATTATATTTTATTACGAGCATTTTTCAAAATATTTATTTAGACTCGTAATTGGAGAGAATAGAGAAATTTATAATTTACCTGCTAACATCAATCTCGTGACAAAAAGAGAATTCAAAATAACCTTTTAAATTAGGCCATGTTTATTTAATTTAAAGACAAATCGACAGATCATCGAAAAGAATCTTGGAAAAGGAATAGAACTTTAGAAATGAACGATGTATATAGAATGTTCAATCTATGTCTCGAGTTTGAATGAACGAATGGATGGATGGGCAGCAAATGAGAATGATGGAAGAAAGAAGCATGTGGATTTTGGCATGGATTGCTTGTCTACTTTCCCTTTACATTCAACCACTTTTTTGCTCCACATACCTTATCCCACAACATTTTGTTTCTCCATCAATGATCAAAACATTATGTATCAAAAACAATTTTTTTTTTTTCAGTTTCGAGATAGATTCCGTTTTAACGTATACCCTTATGTTCGGTGGCTATTATTGTCCATCAATTATCAAAATATTATGTATCAAAATATTGTCCGTTTTGTCTCGTTATGTATTGTCATCGTTGTCAGACTCACAATTTTATAAGGAATGTTTCGTTCTCTTCTCTAACCGATATGAGATTTCACAATCCGGGGGTCTAGCGTGCTCGTTGTTATACCGTTTAGAGTGTTACATGAATTTTCTTTTGATTCAATGTAACCTATGAACTTGGAGATTTGAATTGTTTTTAGTTTTTCTAAAATATCTCGTACCCATTGAAAAATAATAAATGATTTATAAATATAGAGATGAGGTGTTCATCTTTTGGAGGGTTGGGTTGAAGATAGTACAAAACTATGGTGTGGGTAGCAGGTTTATATTCGGGTTGATATCATTTTGTTTTGGGACATCAAGATATGAGCCAAGAGACGTGGCGCAGAAGAGGACCACCATTTTCACTTAGTGCAGTTTTGAGTACAAATTTTCCGGGGCCGACTTTGTACGAACCACCGCCCAAACCTCATGGAAATTGACCACCAAACAGCGCCCCTTCTTCCATCTCCATCTCCATAGCCACTCCTTTCTTCCCTAACTTCTTCATCTTTTCATTCATTATGAATTGGATCATTAGAGTTCTTGAAGATGAGATTGTGATTGGAGCATGCAAATGTTGAAATCAAATCAAATTTTTTTCTTCTATTGTCCCCGTCCCACCCAACACCCCGTTTCTCGACAACATCAACCGGGTAATCCTAGGTTCTACCGATACTTGAGCTTCCACTATGGTCATAGTATCCGACTTCACTCCGACAAACATTCGTAGAGATCTTTTTTGTACAGATAATCTTCAATCTGCATTTTTCAAAAATTCAAATCTTTGAGCTTTCCATCTTCACACATCGTTGTGAATCTTGTCTAGCTCTAATATCATTTGTTAACCTCACACATCGTTTTAAAAACAATGTTATATTACATTTTTGTATTTATATTTGAAAATAAAAATTATCTATTAAGAATATTCTTTCAAATAACATATTTTTTAAAAAATATATAAAATCACTAATTAAAATTTAATTTTGCATGATGCCACTTGGCAATAAAATATCAGGAACTTTCTATGAAATTAATATTAATTGTCCCACTAATACTGGAGTTATTGCTGCATTATTGAAATGGATTAACATTATAATCAAATTATTATTAGTAGAATTATTTTTTTAAAACTTATTAAAGTGATTTGAATTATACTATTGTTTTGTTCTATTACCAAATTATTGTCAAAAAAAAAAAAAAAAAAAAAATTTGAATTTGAAAAAGAATTATCAACCAATTTAATATTTCAAAAGTAATTATTATTTTCTATTATCAAAAAAATATATTTTAGGAGTTATGAAATTTTTTAATCTTAAATTAATGGATGGAAAATGAATGTAGATAGTGGAGTTATTATGTGGGGGAAGTTATAACCTATGCTTGTGGATTTATTGATATCATTTGGGGAACTCTAAACTTAATTTTGTTTATAAAATGAATGAAATTTAAGTAATTGGAATAAGTGATTATATTTGAGTGCACTAAGCATTAACTTTCACTATATCACCCATTACCAATAGGGAATGACATATGGAAGCCCTAGAAAACTTGCACTAACCTACCTTTTTATCCAACTTTTACCTTATTTTCCATTCATAAATGAGCATGCTTTCAATCATTTTCATCATCTTCTTCCACTTTCTTGAACCTTTTCGTCTAAAATATAGTCGATTACTATGTTATAGTCTAAATGACGATCACCATGTTTACTGGTCTACATTTGTTTAGCATAGAATGGTTACTATGTTATAGTCTAAATGACGATCACCATGTTTACTGGTCTACATTTGTTTAGCATAGAATGGTAAGTTTAAATGACGAGTCAACGTGAGTTTAGCTCAATAGTTATTGATATGTATGTCTCTTTATGAGATTGAACATACAAATCCCTGCATCTTTATCTAATTTGTGAGTGTTTTTAGCTCTTAAGTGTATGACGATCAGGATTCGAATTTTTAATATTTTGGTTTGTGGGTTGTGCTCTAATTTAATTCTTGATCAATACCCAAATCATTAATCAAATCATGCCTCCAAATAGCTTTTTAAAGACTGTCATATACTCTACTTTGATGGTAGACTGCAATATTGAATGCCAACAAACAGATTTACCAGCTATAACGAACGGATAACTAATAGAGATCTGATGCACCGTAAAACCCTAAAAAATAGTCACTATAAACTATAACGAACGGATAACTAATAGAGATCTGATGCACCGTAAAACCCTAAAAAATAGTCACTATAAACAAAATTAAAGATCCAAAGGGTTACAAAAACTTAATCATATTAATCTTATGATGTATCTGTTCAAATTTGAAAACAGATAGATTTTTTTTTTTTTTTAAAAAAAAGTAATGTTTTCCATTTATTTATGTAGACGCCCACATGAAACACATTAAGTTCTTTTGGTCTTCCCAAATGGAAGCTTCTGTCTGACAGTTCTCCACGTAATAAACTAGGCGACCACTTGGCTAAAGCTTGCAATTTTATGTATGGTAAGTAATGGAGTACAGCATCACTCTTGTTTAATTAATATTAATTACCTCTTAATTATTTTTATAAATATTCCTTAATCATTCTCAAATCATTTCTTACCTTTGATGCTAACATTCCAAATATATATATATATATAAATTTACTCAGATGATATTCAAATGAGAGTGATTATGAAGATATGATGATTAAAAAACTTAAAAATAATTGATAGTTACCACTTGTTAAAATAAGGTGAATATTATTCATATGAACTCGAAAGTAAAGAATTTGTAACATTTCAAGTCCATCACGTCCTCTTTGGAATTTCCTTTATAGGTTACTGCTCAAAGTTTTAAAACATGTCTATTAAGAAGAGGATTCTATACCCTTATAAAAAAAAAGTTTCGTTCCCTCTCTAACCGATGCGAGATCTCACAATCTACTCCTTTTGAGGGTCCAGTGTTTTCGCTAGCACATAGCTTGGTGTTTGACTCTGATACCCTTTGTAACATCTTAAGCTCACTACAAGCAGATATTGTCCTTTTGGACTTTTCCTTCCAGGCTTCCCCTCCTCAAGGTGACGTGTTTACTATGCAGAGGTTTCAACTTCCATGTCAGAAATGTTTCGTTTTCTCTCGAAAATTAGTGATTATACCAACAATGTGTACATCTTCATTTTTGATGACTTAAAGTTAACGTATTTAACTTGGAGCATTTTTATATGAGGCGAGATTTGAATATTTTAGTCGATGGTACAAACTTTTTAGAAATTAAAATTTATACAAAAATTATAGAAAAAGTAGTTTATATTTATTTAGTTTAATTGATTATATTAAAAGAAAATGGTTAAATTTGATGTTTTAATTTTTATTAATTAGAATAATTAACCCAAAAAAAAAAAAAAAAAAGGCTACAGAGAAAGCCACTAAGACGAAAACAAATAATTGAAAAAACACATCATGTGCGTTAATCACAGATCGAATTTTTCATTTGTTTAACAAATTTATGTCTCAGATTCTGTCCTCTGAGCCATCACCAAAAATATAACCAAATCACTGCATTTTCTTCATTAATTTTATTTTTTATTATGGTCAAACTTCTGTTGACTTTCCACGTGTCTCTCCAAACTGGGCCCCAGCAATCCACTTTGGAGATTCCCCACTTCCCAATCTCCTCGTTATATGCCCCCCCGCAGCTAACCCAACCCTCCCACCATCCTTTCAAGTTACGAGCATTTCTTGTGAAGTTTGTGAGCCATGGGTAACGCAGATTTTGAGTGCCCTCACCGAGTCGCCATTCCACCAACCAAGCCATTCTTGGAGTCCTTAAGCTCCAACCTCAAAGAAACCTTCTTCCCCGATGACCCTTTCAAACAGTTCAAAAACCAGACTTTAGGACCCCAAATTCTCCTCTGGCTAAAGTACTTCATCCCCATATTCGAATGGGCTCCTCATTACACCCTCGACTTCTTCAAATCCGACCTCGTGTCCGGTGTCACCATAGCCAGTTTAGCCGTCCCTCAGGGCATCAGCTACGCCAGCTTGGCTAGCATCCCTCCTATCATCGGACTCTGTAACACCTCTTTCTCTGATACCATGTTAGCTACCTTCTTCTTCTTCTTATTATTATTATTATCATCATCATTACACTTTCATAAACCCATGCAGATTCGAGCTTTATTCCTCCGTTGATATATGCCATGCTTGGTAGCTCGAAAGACGTGGCAGTCGGGACGGTAGCGGTGGCATCGTTGCTCATGGCTGCCATAATGGGGAAGGAAGTCAGCCCCGTCGAACATCCGAAACAATACCTTCAGTTGGTTTTCACTGCCACGTTCTTCGCCGGTGTTTTCCAAGCTTCTCTCGGTTTTCTCAGGTTATTTTAACGAGTTTCTTGCTTTGATATCATGTTAAATAATTATTTAATCTAATTGGGAAGGTTTGGAAAGTGCAGGCTGGGGCTTATTGTTGACTTTTTGTCGCATGCAACAATAGTGGGGTTCATGGGTGGTGCGGCAACCGTGGTTTGTCTTCAGCAGCTAAAAGGAATATTAGGATTGGTTCATTTCACGCACGAGACCGATATTGTATCCGTTATAACCTCTGTTTCCTCTCAAGTTCATCAGGTTTCTTAGCTCACCTCCATGGCCGCCGCCATTTTTCAATCAGTTCAAAGCTCTCTTTAGCAGTTTTTCACTTTGTTTTTTTTTTTTTTTTTTTTTTTTTTTTTTTTTTTTTTTTTTTTTTTTTTTT